CAATAATTATCTCAAACGCTTGAGTAGTAATCATAAAGAATAACAATTTATATTGATTCTTGGTAGATCAGGAATAGGAAAATCGCGAGAAATGAAGTCAAACTCCCTGTTCACCCATGCAGAAGAATCATTATTGGCAAATTTAACTGTTGAAATAGAATCGTCTAAGGCTGCCCTTAATGATCTCATTTATATATTTATCGATTTAATTGATGGACATCATGCCAAAGAACGAATAGGAGTGCATGTTGCAATAGCTGCGGGCTTGATAGAAAATACGCCAAATTTCATTGAACTCTATTGTTTTGATAATGTGATACAAGCCGCCGTTTCAAAGCAATAGGTCGACCTCTTGAAGCTGTCATTATACATATCGATGAATATCAAAGATACATTGATTTCGTTCACCATGGGAGGACGCCCGCACCTTCTTCAAGAATATGCTACAAGTGATTGGTGCTGTTATGCTCAGCCAGTAAAGATGAGGGAGGGATGAAACCTCTTAATAACAGTCGAAACTTAAACGAAAATATATTAAAAATCATAATAAGGGTACGACGAAAGCCGAAACTTTCGAAACTATATTAAAAACATAAAAAAGGATATGACGGAATTATTTTGAGGAGGTTTCGGCAGGCATCTATGGCAGTTAGGCTACACACAAGCAAGAAGGTATTGGGGAATACTTTATTATCCTGGTTTCCACTGGAACATCAGCTATTGATGTTCATTATTTACATACAGAATATACCAAAGTTCTGTAGCATCTCAAACCTTTGGATTATATCTCAGCATACATGATGTTTCTTGACAAATATCAATACTCAAAGCAAACCACCAAAAGTGCAAAGAAAATTTTGAAACAACATGTTGAAAGTATTATAATACATCATTTGATGAAAGTGTGAACGTTCAAGGAAACTTTGTAAACTTGTCTACATCTCAGGAACATTTTCGTATTGCTCTATTTGATACTAGGAATGCTAATGGTCACAGTCATGACCGGTCATAACCGTGATCGATATCGGTCGGTCAAAGGCTTCTGACCGACTGATTCACCAACCGACCGATTCCCGATTTTGACCGACCGTTTGACCGACTGTCTTGAGATTGAACACCATGTTTTAATAACAGAAACACTTTGTATTAAATTAACAAAACCAACATTTTATTTTAATTAAAATTTTGAAATTTAATAAAAAAAAAAATTAAAAAATCCGCGATAATGCTGCGCCACTAAATAAAATGACATAGTAGTTTTAAAAAATGCCATGACTTTCAATTTATTATGAAAAAGCATTGATAAAAATCTGATTAAGTTGATTCGTCATACTTGAACATGCACCTGGTATCTTTATTATATCGAGAAAAATCATCTTCGTAGGGAGGATCCAATATTGATAATGCATATTCATTATAACCATCTTTCATCGAAGTTTGTCATTCTCAACGATTAGATTTAAAAGTAATTTGTAAGATTTTGTTTAGACCTCAACTGACAAGCAATGCTCTCCTTGATCTGGTCAAATGTTTCATATTGGATCAACGGGTTAAACTGAACATGGAACGAACCGCACATCTCATTTAGGATAATTTATTCTAGTGTACTTGAGGTAAACCCAGAAGTTGTCATATGGGAAGTTTGCTAGGAAAATTAGGCTCTGTGAATTTTTTAACAAAATTTTGATTTTTATTGCATTTTAGTTTTTGATGTTATTAGATTAAAATGTAATAAGGTCTTAATTTTAGTCAAAAAAATTCCCAGAACCTGATTTTCCTAGCAAACTTCCCATATGGTTTCTGATCATCTCGCTGTAATTTAGTAACGAGAGTTCCTCTAACAAGGAAGTAAGTAAGATCGATGTTCTTTTAAATCATGTGAAAATACTTGGAAATGCAGTGTTAACAAATCCACTTCTAGAAGTCTTCAGCATCGGAAAGTTTTTTTGAGAAAGGAGTGTGTCAACTTAGCTACAATAAGATTATTTTATTTTATGAGTTGTGTATAAAAGATTGAATAGAATTAGTTTCAGGTGCACAAGAAACGTCTCTAAGTTTTTGCTTAAATTGTTTTAGTTAGAAATAAATTGGTCATGCAAAAATTGGGTAATAAATTAATACTAGTTTCTTCGTACGACCAAAGGTTTCGAATAATTTTGGATATATACTCTTCTTTTTCGTATACCTGCGTATATATAAATACAAATACAAATATATATATATATATTTTTTATTAGAAAAGGATCGGAGTTTAATCTAGTTAATCGGTCACTTAGTCTAATCGATTAATCAGCATCAACTAAATGGTTATAACTATGAGTCAAATACAGTATGACGTATGACGTGTCGTTACGTATATATAACGTTGTTTATGCCTTAAAAAAAAATTATTAAACTCTTCTCTCTTTCCCATTCTTCCATCTTTGCAGTTATCTTAAAATGATTTTATCTTTATATTTTGTCATTCTTGTTAATCCTCTTACGAACCCTTTCTCGATTCTCATTCCCGAATATGGTATCATTATTGACGAAGTAAAAGTCGGTATTGACCAAATCACTTTTGGGGATTTAAAAAAACTGATATGTAAACAAAATCCGAATATCTTTAAAGCATATGAAGCTGAAAAAATGAACCTATGGATGGTTAAGGGTCTTAGCCAAGGAAACGATATGTGGAAAAAACTTAAAATATTGACCAAGGAGAAGGAGCCTGAAACAAAAATCATTGAAGAAATCGAAGGCGAGATTTTACCCCCAAATGAGAATGTTTTGGGTTCGTCACGTTTAATTCCAAATAGTATAATCATCGTACAACCTCCGCCTCCCGCTACCACTGGTAAGTGTCTTCCAATGATTTACCTCTTAAATAAGAAATTTGCAGTCCATTTCGATTCTCATTTATCGTTCATCCTTTCAGCAACCATTTTAGCTGATATGCTTTCTTCACAACAACCATTCTCTCCTTATCGACAAAGTTTTAGTCACAAGTTCTATGATCGCAAACAAGCTATGGATAAGATTGCAAAAGTCGCCAACAATAATTATCTCAAACGCTTGAGTAGTAATCATAAAGATCAACAATTTATATTGATTCCTGGTGGATCAGGAATAGGAAAATCGCGAGCAGGAATGGAGTCACAACATCTGGTCACCCATGCAGAAGAATCAGTATTGGCAAATTTAACTGTTGAAATAGAATTGGTTAAGGCCGCCCTTAATGATCCCATTTATATATTTATCGATATAATTAATGGATATAACTACGACCAACAAATTGATGAAAATCATGCAAAAGTACGAATAGGAGTGCGTGTTGCAATAGCTGCGGGCTTGATAGACAATACGCCGAATTTCATTGAGCTCTATTGCCTTGATAATGTGATAAAAGAAATCCTTCGCCGCCGTTTCAAAGAAAAAGGTCGATCTCTTGAAACTGTCATTATACATATCGATGAGTATCAAAGATATATTGATTACGTTCACCATTATAAAAAAATATCATGGGAGGACGCCCGCATCTTCTTCAAGAATATGCTACAAGAGATTGGTGCTGTAATGCGCAGTCAGGCTATACGAAAGCAAGAAGGTATTGAGGAATACTTTATTATCCCGATATGCACTGGAACATCAGCAATTGATGTTCACTTTTTGCATACAGAATATACTAAAGTTCTGGTCCAACTCAAACCTTTGGATTATAATTCAGCATACATGATGTTTCTTGACAAATATCAATACTCAAAGCAAACCACCAAAAGTGCAAAGAAAATTTTAAAACAACATATTGAAAAGTATTATAATACATCATTTGATGAAAGTGTACTTGATGAACGTTCAAAGGAACTTTGTGAACTTGTATTATCTCAGGAACATTTTCGTATCGCTCTATTTGATACAGGGTTTATTCCCAAGTACCTGGATAACCTTCTATCTCCTCAAAATATTACACCACATATTGACTGGGGCAATATTTTATTCCATACAATGTCAGTACAATCTGTTGAAATTAACGAATTAAAACCAGGTTGCTGGAAAAGTATTGAAGACATCTGTACCATAATCTCATTTGGGATTACCCGACAAACTGTTAGAAGAGATTTTTTGTTACCTAGTTGGACTTCCATTGGCGATGTTGAGCGAGCAGGTTTAATCTTTCTCATAATCCCCACCGAAACTCATTCCAATGATGAATTCATTATTTTTATACCTTTTATGTTAATGAAGTTACTTAACAAAATGCTCCTGTTTACAGCGTATCTCTTGATTCCAGATAAACTACTCCTTATTCCAATGAAAGATCGCCCTTGGCGGTGGCAAGATTTTGAGTCCCTTCATGGATACTACCAAAGAGCACTTATTAAGTCTTTAATCAACGTTAAAAACGCACAAATTCTAGCTTTAGAGAAAAGTATTAGTACGCTTCAATGCCTTAGCGTCACCAAAAAAGTAGACGACGTTTATAATATCATTTACCAAATCGACAAGAAAAAATCCTACCTTTCTAATGAAAAGCAAATGAAGTGATGCCTGTCAGATATCTTTCGTGATGTGAAGGGTGATGCGACTCTTCTTCACTGCCAAGTCGAATTACGCGATGTGGGTGTCTTTATCGAGAAAGAAAAGTTTCTTGTTAAAACAACAGACATTGCACAATTTAGCAAATTGGTATTGTGTGATGATAACATTACTCGTTCTCTCGAGTCAGCTATCTTCCATTGTGCTGATGAATGCGCCAACATTGATCATTGATGGGCTGTTGAATCTGCTTCTGATGGAAAACCGTTTGCAATATTTATGCAAGACAAATATTCGAAAAATGATACAATGGATCCCAGTGTCAGCGGAACAACACTTTTAGATTGGTACAATATAACACTTCGGTCAGTCAGTAGCTATGCTAATAACTATGAAATTATTCTCATTTTTTTCACTGTTCGACGTTTTACAGGAAATAATCTTCACAAGATGCCTCAGTTGCTTCTTATTGATTTAGATTGTATTAAGGACTACCTTTCACCATCATTTGCCCACTGTGGCTTAGTAATACCATAAACCAGAGAAAGTACTTTCTTATCCTATTCTGGAAGAAGACCTTGTTTATCTTATGAATACTGACATGTGAGATGTTGAAATTTATTAACTAAAAAATTTCGAATGTACATGAGATTCTGTAATTTCTTTTTAAATAACAAACTATTTCTGCTATAAAGTAATAAAATTTAAAAGTTTTAAAGAATTCTTTATTCTATGAATTAGTTAATATCTATTTAATTTACAGTCGCTTACACATAAACACAAATACTTTATTAAAATGAATGAAATGAAATATATGGAGTAGCCGAATCTAAAGGAAGGAAGCATCTCGAGTACTAAATGAAACAATTTAACTAATTCCAATTTTATATCTACGCAAATTTTTACAATATTTAACTATAGAACTTTAAATAATATAATCATATAATAGAAACTATATTACTTTCTACAAATTTTAAGATGACATTTGATTTATTGTAATATTCCGGAGAATGTGCTGTTTTATAACTAAACACTATAGTTCTTATTTTTAACATTCCGCTCCACCTTAACTTGTGTTCAAGAAAAATTTTTGATAGAATTCGGATTAAACTTTCAGGATTCTATATCAGACTTGCGATATTCGATGAATTTAGTATTATCTAAGAATGGTAATATGACTTTTTACATCTATAAAGCTTATATGATTTTTACCAAAAAAAAAGAAAACTAAAGTTAAAATAAATAAAAAATAATTTTTTTATCACTGGTTAGAATATATTTTTGGTACTGCTGCAGCTCATTAAGACTAGGTATGTCAAGTTAAATTTATACAATGAAAAATCAGTATATAATATGTGAATGTTGTTGGTAAATGAATATTAAAATTATTTGAAAGCACAATCTGGTAATGATTAAGGCAGAATAAGAATATTTATTATTTTTGAAGAATTTTTATTATAGATTTGGAAGAACCAGAATTATAAAGAACCAGAACGATATTGTTACAATCAATATATTGGTTAGTCTTTTCCTATCTATTTTGACCAGTATATCCTAATTATTTTTTTTTATTTTTAAAATTCGTTATATTAAATTTATAGTTATATATTTATTTTTTTGTTTTAATTAATTACCATTTAGTAATTAGCATTTATTGAGTTTATAAAATTGAAATTGTGAAAGTGTAGAGCGCTGATTTGAAGAAACACTGATTAATTATTCAATATTCTTTAATTAAACCTTTTGCTTATAAATATAAATACTAGGAAATGGCTTGCCATTATTAAGTCCGGAGCTAGGATCTTAACCAATAAAAAACGATGAATAATGTATCATGTGATTATCCTAAATTTTAATTAAAATTAATCCCGACTTTCCGTGATGCAAAAAATACTTATGGGAAATACTGGAATAAGATGCCGATCATTACCTGATCAAAGGTGTGACCAACAGACAAAGTGTCACCTCGTTATACTTCAGAAAATTAGATTTTAATTTGAAACAATAAGATTTGATTACTTAATTATCTAATTACCAATTTGTTAATATTAAATTTTAAATGTTAATTGTTCTTGCTTTAATTGTTCTTTTATTATTTAGATTTTATAAT